GATGACTTCCACCAAGTATTGTTGGATTTCTGCAACAATGTACATAATCAAGACCCCATAAATAGATGGAGAAAAGGATGCTTGCTGCCAATCCCCAAAAAAGGCAACCTCGCGATCACCAAGAATTATCGCGGAATAACATTGACAGCAATTCCAGCAAAGATTTACAACCTGATGCTCCTTAACAGGTAAGACCCAAAATCGACCCAGTCTTGAGAAAAAACCAAAACGGGTTCCGCACAAACCGATCAACCTCGGGACAAATACTCACCATCAGACGTATCTTGGAAGGCATAAAATCTAAAAACCTTCCAGCTACTCTCCTATTCATCGACTTTTCAAAAGCCTTTGATTCGATCCACCGCGGAAAGATGATAGAGATCTTATCCGCCTATGGAGTACCCAAGGAAACGGTGGATGCCATCATGATTCTGTATCAGGACACCTGCTCTATGGTTCGCTCCCCTGATGGAGACACAGACTTCTCCGATATCAGTGCTGGAGTCCTCCAAGGTGATACACTAACCCCATACATATTCATTATATGTCTTAACTATATACTGCGTAAAGCTCCGGACAAGAACAATGAACTTGGCTTTACCCTCGCAAAGCGGAAGAGCAAACGCTACCCAGCTATGAAAATAACAAATGCAGACTATGCTGACGACTTAGCAGTACTGGCTGATGTCCTAAAAGATGCAACATTCCTGCTGCACAGCATTGAAAGAACAGCAAAGGAGATAGGGCTAGGAGATATGGAAATCAAACCTTCCTGACGACCTGAAAAGAAACTTCTTTCGAACAGAAGTGGAGACTGTCCTTTTATATGATTCAGTCTCCTGGACCTTAACAACACATCTGGAAAAGAAAATCGACGGAGCATTCACTAGAATGCTACGCACTGCCTTAAACAGATCGTGGAAGGATCACCCCACAAACGTAGAGCTCTACGGCCACATCCTGCCAATGAGTAAATCAATAAAGGATGAGATTCGCAGGGCATTGTTGGCGCAGTAAAGAAGAACTTGCAGGGGATGACACAGGATGCAGACTTGAAGAACTGCCAATTGCAATGGAAGACAGAGAAAGGTGGAAGGAGCGTGTCATGGAATATCGAGCAAGCGCGACTTGATGATCATGATAATGATGTGATCTTATGTGATCTTAAAATGTAAAAAAAAAGGAAGAGAAACAGCCTCTCGGTGCAGTCTGACTTCTATTAGTAGACTTCTAGAGCGAGTAAACATATAGACGCAGATATCATCTACGAACCAAATAGAAAGTAATAGAATAGCTGAGCCAGTAAGTCGTTTGATAATATGCAGATTAAAGCAAGATAAATCTGTTTTTAAAGCGGTCAGGGACTTCAGCGGCCCCTAGTCTGCACTTAAAACAGTATTTCATGCGTCACGAATTTTATAGGAAAAAATTCAAACTTCCTTTAATATTTCTTTTCAATAAAAGTTACAAGTCATGTAGTAATTTGAAGTTTTAACACGCGTCACGTCAAACCCTTCGCGACCTTCATCATTACTTCAGAGCTGTCGAACGTGGAAGAAAGTATTAATGCCAGTCTGCCAATCAGACGAATTTCCGTCGTCGTGAGATAAGTCTTACGCAATCCATCTGCTTGCGTGACCTGACTCAACTTAAAGGCACTGCTCACGAACTTTGTATGATCATATTTTGTGTTGAATGTATCGCACAAGATGGCGGCTTTTATTATATCGGTGTTTCTCGCTACTCTTTCCAGCTGTCTGGCTGCAAATATTGTCATGATTCCCATGTTTGGGAGAAGCCATTACATGTTTGTCTCCCGTCTTGGACAGGAACTGGCGGAGAGAGGTCATCAGGTATGCAAATTTGAAATGAGGCTTCGAACATTCTAAGTCAGCTTCTTGCACTGAGCAACGTTAAGGCAGCTGAATGATATCTATCGTGTTCAGACGAGGAGCATATTTCATAAAGAAAAGCAGAATATGATGTGAATAAAACGATTTCGTGGACTGCTTTCATATCATTTGCTGACACAGTGACCTCCTCACCAACCTCGCTATGTAAAATGATTAACTACAGTCCTTGTGAGCTTTCCGCTCGCACAAATGGGAAAAAGAGACCCGCATAGAAACATTTCCTGGACAAAGCATTATTGGAATGAATTTATTCTTTAACTTTTCAGTTTGTAGCTATCTTCTAGTCTGGGCCACAAGGCTGATTAAATTTTGTATACTTTACTATGGTTTGATTAGACACCAAACGTCCCATCAATAACCTTTACACCTTCTATTTTTTAACTTTTTCTACCGTAAATTTACTCAGACTAAATAAGTACTGCTGTGACGAACTCTGAGCCGACTAATTTTTCACTGGACTATTGGTAATTTAGGAAATGCAATGCTAATGTAGAGGTATTGTTTATTTTGTAAAGAGATTGTCCAACGCGCTGAAAGAAGGAAGATTCACTCGCTAAGGGAATATGCGCACAAAACATTTGTACGGCCTGCAAGTTGCTATTAAGTTCAGCATCAAATCTTCTGCACTAACCTCAATGATTAAATTTCCTTTCTTTGCTAACTCATTCGGTCAATCATGAAAACAATCATATACTGCTAAATCAGACGGAAAGATATAGCCTAGACCCTCTTGATCAATATCCGGAAGGATTACATTTTAACTTCATCTGAGACTTAATTACCTTTTTCCGAAGCACACCATTTCGTCCACTGGGGGTTCATTAATTCCCATAACTTCTCAGCCGGGTGTGTTTTGGAGAGAGAAAGACTATTACAAACTTATAAGAGAGGCACAGTAAGAGTGATTGTTTTTGTGCTGAACTCTCGCACTTCTTTGGTTGAAAAAACTTCAATATTTTATAACCAACAAAGGTAGGCCTTCAGATACAGGTATATTTTGAAACAAAACACACAGCCTACACTAAATCTGGAAACCATCAAATGTATTACGAATTCTACTTCATATTCCTTATGTCCATTGTTCCTTTCTCCTTTGTTTTTATTTCAGCTTTCTGTTTTTTTTAGGGGTGCGGGAGAGAAGGGGGGCTTATTCTTACAGGGAAAGGGGGTTAAGTATTGCCCGATAAGGCCTAAAAATACTTGTAAACGTTTCCACAGGTAAAGATATATGTGGGAGCGACACAAATGTATGCTGTAAATGATTCACTTGTACGAGTCTTCAACGATGACAATTTTGCTCCAGCGTTCCGGTCAGCATCAAAGAGTTCTCAAACCTTCAAATCGCTAAGCCCAAGACAAACATGGCAAAGGCTCCTAATGTTCCATTCTGTTTATTGTGATGACCTTCTCAGT